CTAATATTTTTCTTTTGTTTGAATTCTTTATAATATCACACAGAATGACTTTTCTTCAAAAAAAAATTTCAAAATATTGATTCTAGGTAGTGGGAATATGCAATATTATTACTGTCTTCTTTGTACATTTCTGTATTTAAATAACTCCCGATTTTAACTGAATTATTTTAGGAGTGAATGCAAGGAAGTAAAGACAGTATGTGTGCACAACTCTTTGAAGAGTCGGACTCTGGAAGGAACAGAGAAATGAGCACTCATGTGGATCAAGGGAGGGTTATTTTTGCTTGAGAAACCTAAACATGTTTTAAGCCGGTAGAGAGAGCTTGCTGACGCAGAATAGAGGAGGATGATGAAAGGAGCCGGGAGAAGGGGACATCCAGAAGTGGGGAGCTGGACCTTCCACAGGAACAAGATGCTCCCTCCATCATAGCAGAAAGGGGACATCATCTGACGGTTTCAATTTCCTCAATGAAGTATCAGAGGAGAGTGGAGGATGGGGGTGTGGGAGGTTTCAGGGTAAAAGAGAAAGTGGGAAGGAGTCATTTCTGTGACAAGGAAAGCAATCCCCCAGAAGAAACTAGCAGGTGGTACTAGAGCCGGTTGAGGCTTGTGATCATCAATTCAACATCAACCCAGCCAGTCCGGAAGTGTTTTTTCTCCCAGGACAGTCGGAGCTGCTCAATGCTGAAGGAAGGATGCAGAAGGTAGGCTGTGCAGGACAAGTACCAGCCAAGACGGGAGCTGGAAAGGAGCCTTGTGGCTTCCAGCGCAGGGGCCCTCCTGCTGGACCAGGAGGGAAGGGATGCCTGAAGGGTGATGTGGCAGAAATGAGCTGGGTTGCAGCGCAGAGCGTGGACATCCTGCACAGGGACTGGAGTGGCCGGCAGGGTCACACTGAGCACATGGCCCTAGGAGTGACCACGGGATGTGGGACAAGGCGGGCTGTGATGGTTCAGCGTGCGTATCCCAAAGTCCTGAAGGCTTATGCGAGTCTGGGTGGAGAGGAATACCAGGACTCCACTAAATGAGCCACAGAAGCTCAGGAGCCATTACAGAGAGGACAGAAAGTGAGTGCTGAGTCTGGACTCTCCACAGAGCAGGGGCAGTGGGAAGCTACGAGGACTCAACCCCACCTCCTGGCCACACCTGGGGTGTGACCAGGATCCAGCTCCTTTCCAGGGGTCAAATGGAACAGCATCTTCGGGAGAGAGCCGGTTTTCATCAGAGTAAGAGAAAATTAGGGTTGTTTTTGTTCTTTAATATAGACTTCCAGCACCCACCGCTGGAGACTCGGATTCAATAGCTTTAAAAAAAAAAAACAAAAAACTCTCCAAGTGATTCACATTACCAAGCAAGTTTGGAAACCACTGTGTGAAATGATCCTAAAGCCTTCGATTGCATAAAAGTAGACACACAGCAAATATGGAGCAAATACTTGTTGAATTGAATACAGCTAAGTTTATATTTTTTATTAAGCATCATTAGTAAATCTTCACATGTCATAGAGAACAGTATTAAAATAGCAACAAGGGCTTCCCTGGTGGCGCAGTGGTTGAGAGTCTGCCTGCCGATGCAGGGGACACGGGTTCGTGCCCCGGGCCGGGAAGATCCCACATGCCGTGAAGCAGCTAGGTCCGTAAGCCATGGCGGCTGAGCCTGCGCGTCCGGAGCCTGTGCTCCGCAACCGGAGAGGCCACAACAGTGAGAGGCCTGCGTGCCACAAAAAAAAAAAAAAAGCAACAAAAATAACAACTCCAGACTGCCTGCACAACCCTCATGAATGTGATTCCGAAGAACCACTAGTGTCACCAAGTGGCCACAGATTCGTGCTTCTCCGTCTCACCCCAACAGGGTCTGACAGTCCAAGTCCTTCAAAGGCTCTCTCTGTCCAGCCGGGTAAATTTATCATCTCAACGACCTAAAACTAACAAATAACTAAGACCACCCATCAGTCTCGTACCCCAACCAGACACAATCTACTCAAACTGTAAGAGAAAAAAACATCCCCTGAGCTACGTTCCCGTAATCCTGCAAATTAGGTGACTACAGAAAGGTCCTTCCTTCTATCCTACAACACAACATTCTGTCCTCAAACAGCTAATGTTTGGATCAGATTTCTATGGTTTATTGTTATAACCAAATCACCCCAACCCTCTTCCCCTCAAAAACGTGCTCCTAAACTATCTTGAAATGAGAGAATAAACAATGTTTTTTGAACAGGGCCCTCCAACTGTATATTACATTACGGAAATGTGAAATATTTGCTTATAAGGTTATAAGGGGCTTTGCCTTGCTGAGATAAAAACTCAATTTCCTCCTTCAATCATGGAACTCAAAATTTTAAAGATGAAAAGGCTAGAGCATGAGATGTCTCATATAAATTCTTTCTGGTCGGACACTATCCTTCATCTTCCCAGCACTTAACCAGTGTTTATTGGTCCTGCTTCCAACAAGAAGACACATGTTTTTGGAGGCACTGACTGCCGTGGTCAGTGAGCACCCTACTTAGTCAAGAGCAGAAAGCAGAGACTTATCTTCAAACTTCAACTGACATAACTGTCAACACTCCCCAAAAGCCTATAATAGCATTCTCTTGTTTTTTACGGTAGGTGTTTAAGTTTTCTTTTTCTTTCATTTGCTTGCATTGTATATTAAATGATCCATGTTTATGTATCTATTCATTCTAATTTCTTTGAGGGAGGGTTTCTGTTCCCCATGGACACCAGCAAGCATGCTGCAACACACGAAAAGACCTTGTAAAGAATATCAACAGCCCTAGGAACACCAGAAACTATCCCAAATCCATCCCTTCCCTCCATATCCACTGCTACCCTCCACCCCAGTCCAAGCCACCACTTAAAATTATCTAGAATATTACAATCGATTTCTGGCTCCAATACCATCAGTTTTTCACCCACTCAAGGGCCAAAGAAATCTTGTTAATCATACAAATGATGCCATGTCCCTACCCATGCTAAAACCTTCCAAGGGACTTCCAATTGCATTTAGACTAAAATGAAAACTATTTATCATGGTCTCTCTACCTCCACCCTGGTCCCCCAATATCTGCTCTCAACACAGCAGCTAGAGGGGGTTAGATCATGTTATTCCTTTGCTTGACACCTTCCAGAAGCTCCCTCAGAGCTTCCGCAGTGGCCACAAAGGCCCTACACAATCTAGAAATCCATTGCCCTGGGACCCTATCTAGTACCATTCCCACCTAAACTCCTTACTCTTCCATGCTGGAATGTTCTTCCCCCATCTCCCTCACATTATTCATCCCTTGGCTCAACTGTCACCTCCTTAATGAGACTTCACTGATCACGCTGAGACTGAAAACTCTTCCCCATGCCCATAGCCCCTAATTCCCTTTCCTTATTTTTTTCTCCTGACCACACAGCTGCATCTGACTTAATATAAATTCTACCAGTTTATTTACTGATCCACTAGAAGGCTCCGGGTATGCTCCAGGAATATGGATGGATGCTTCACGACATATGGAATTTTGATCTGCTTTGTTCACTTCTGTATCGCAAATGCCTAGAACAGTGCCTGGCATATAACAGGTGCTTAGTGAATATTATTGAATGAATGAAGGAACTGATTCTGCCTTCCCTGCCCACCTCCACGTTGTCTTTCCTACCTTCTACCACTTGCTCATTCTAGCCAGAATGACATTCTCTCTGTTCCTCCAGCAGGCGAAGCTCATGCCCACTTCAGCACATTTTCTTCTCTGTGTAATGATGCTCTAACCCCAACCATTCCACCCCAGGCACTCTCATAGCATACCTGAAATCACCTTGCTTATTCATGAGCCCACCTGTTTATTTTCTGTCTCTACCGCTGATATGGAATCTCCACAGCAGGAGCTTTGCGTTTTTCACAGCTGCTTCCCTGGTGCCAGGGATGGGCTTGGCACATAGTAGGTGCTTGGTAAATATCTGTTAGAGGTGGAACCAGCCAAGCTCATGTAGGTCTCAGCTTTTGCCAGCATAAAATAAAAAGAAGATACTCTGACAGTCTCTTTGGGCTGAAGATACTCTAAGGTCTCTTTGGGCTCTTTATAGAATTCTGATTTTACATTCTCGCAGCACAGTATAGTTTACAGGAAGCCCTCACTTCTGACAGCTCGCACAGAGATCTGGGAGGTAATTCACAGAGTCTTAATTATCCAGCTTTTGCATCTGAAAAAACGACTCTGAGGCTGGCCTAAGAGGCACAGCTATTAAATGGTGGAGCTGGGTCTAAATTCACAGCTCTTTCAATGCCAATACAACGAAAGGAGAATTAAACAGGATTTTCTAGTCTTTACAAATAGGTTCAAGGAACTACAAATTTGCTGGTTTACTGCACATTCATCCAAAAAAGTATAGAATATGGATTTTTAATTGTTTTCCCCATTTTTCCATGAACATGCTGATAATCTGAGAATGAATGGTCAAACAATGCGAATAAACTTATCCACTCAGGACTTTTCTGATGGTTGAACATCTTGATTTGTATAAAGAACAGTCACATTTGAAGAACACATTCAGATCACTTGCTCCAGCTCACCGGCACTTGTGAAAGCACTGGGAGGTAGCTCTACAAGCACAGCTGCGAGGAATGTCCTACAGCAGTAAGTGGCGGTGAGGTGTGCCCGCACTCACTGAGCGTAGAATGACTTTGCTAGGTTGTGGTTTGGTTTCCAGAACACTCTGAAGGTCCCGACCCTGTGAAAACGTGGTCCATGTGCCGAGCACACAGCCGCCCACATTGGCACGGGAGTCAGCAGTGAGGCTCCCCGCTCGCTGTTCCCGCCCGCCCGTTGACCAGGGCGCGGCCAAGGTGCACCGAGGGCAGGGGCAGCCCCGCCGCTCTCCCCCACCCGGGGACCTCGGGGGTCGGGGCAGCTCCCGCCGGACAGCGCGGCGCCGTAACGGGAAGGTCCCGGGACAGGTCGCCGCGGAGCAGCCGGGGGCCTCCGCGGACTCCGCCCGGACCTCTGGCGCCCGCCTCACCGGTAGGTGGTCAGCAGCGCCTTGTTAACCAGCACGAGGAGGAAGGAGCAGGTCCCGTAGAAGAGTGCAGACAGTAGCTTGGCCACCCGGGAGGGCAGCCGTGCGGAGGCGTGGTCCATACCCGCACCCTCGGCCTGGCGGCCTGCCGTCATGTCCCGCAGCTGCTAGTCTCGGCCGCACTCCGGCCTGCGCTGCCCCAGTTCCGTCCCCGCCCCCGCCCCCGGCCGGCGCTGGAGAGGGCGCGGCCGAAACAGGAAGGGCCACGGCGGGAACCCTGCAAGCCCGAGAGCCCTGTCGGGCGCCCCACGCTGCCGGCGCGGGAGGAGCGGTTCGGCTGCAGTTCGTCCTCAAAAGCACCACTCTCTGTGTCTAAAAGGAGAACAGAGACGGGTTTGGGAGAGTTTAAAGACCCTACCTTCCTCCAAACTGCTGCCTTGGTGAGAAACGTTAAGACTTAGGGTTTGTTTTGCTTTCTTTTTTTCCAATATTTTTAACTGACAATTTACATACAATGAAATGCAGATTTTACGAGTCCACAGTCGATGTTTTGACAAATGCATACACCCGTGTAACCACCCAAGTCAAAACATAGAACATTTCCATCACCCCAAAAAGTGCCCTTTGTGTCCCACTGGTCGACCCCCCCCATTTCATTCTGATTTCTATTACCCTAGGTTAGATTTGCCTTTTCAGAAAATTCGTATAAATGAGCATGTACTCTTTCAAGGCTCTTTTCGCTTTTATTATTTTTGTGACTCACCCATGTTCGAGTCTTTTCATTGTTGAGTAGTACCACAATTTGTTTATCCATTCACTAGGTAGGTGGTGGGCATGTTTGGTTGTTTCCAGTTTAGGGCTATTACCAAAAAAATGCTTCCATGAACATTCGCGTACAAGTTTTTTTGTGTGAACGTATATTTTCATTTATCTTCGGGAAATACCTAGGAGTGGAATGGCTAGGGGTATAGTGGGTGCAAAGTCTCCAGGCTTTTCTTGCCTCTGGGTGCTTTAAGGCAGGTTCTCCCCCTACCCATTTCTTTTCTACATGGGTGCATCTAAACATCAGGTTATTGTTCATGTTAACTGAAGGAGGGCCTCCCAGAACTGCCTACTCTGACCAGTCTACCTGGTCTAGCATTTTTTCAATTAAATGTCCCGTATTTTCATTCTAAATAATTAATTTTAAACATCTGAAATTTCAACTTTTTAGAAAAGCTAAAGATTTCAAGTTAAATAGATATTTGAGCCTAACTATATCGATGCCATGCAATGGTTTTCTTTTGGAGTCACTGAACAACCAAAAACATTTTCAGTACTGATAAGAACTAAAGCAGAACTTCTGACAAATAACTAGCACTAAAAGAGCCAGAAAGGAAGAGTCTACATTACCCAAAACAGGAAAGGAACAAACACACATAAGACTGTTTAAAATAGAAAATAAATTCATATTCAAGTTGAACCCAAAAATCTGAACTTGGAAGTCATTTTGGTTAATTGCCTCAAAAAGATCAACTATGTTTCCAGTGAGTCTCCAAATAAGTTTTGGCTGCAAAACAGTCCTGCTTCCCCCCCACCACACCACACCCCACCCCACACACACATGCTGCACAGCATGCAGGATCTTAGATCCCAGACCAGGGATCAACCAGAGCCCCCTGCATTGGAAGCTCGGAGCCTTAACCACTGGACCACCAGGGAAGTCTAAGACTATTTTAAAGTCACTTTTAAAGACAGCCTTAACCATATTTGCATTTAATTTGCTCCTATATACATACTACCAGGAACTTAAGTCACTGTCAAAATCTCATCCTTACTTTGTTTAAACCACAACTCACACTCAAGAGTTGCTTGTGAAATTCTTTTGCACAAAGCCCGGACAGGCTGAACCTTGCCGTTGCAAGTAAACAACTAAAGATCTACCAAAAATAACTAATAAAAAAATTAAATTTGCTTGACTCAGAAAAGTAATCAGGCCCTGGGTGGATTCTATGGGTTTGACCCCAGATTCAACACATCCTGGATACAAGTGAAATGAAATCCCAGTTGCTGATTACCCTAATATAAAGCCTGGGATAGAGCTGGCAATAGTTTAATACTTTTTTACACCAGTATTTTTAACACTGTAATAATGAAACCGATGAGGAAGTTAAATGAATATCTATATTCTAAAAGGCCATAATTTTAATGTAAGAAAAAGGAATTCACATGATGGTTCTAACTATGCTAAAATGATGCCTCGAATGAGACTGGAATGAAATATAAAATGCACCAAAATAATAATGATGGGAGAATGTATGGCTATAGTTGACATTTCTTTCCATCTTTAGATTTTTATATTATGGCTATTATATTTTTAAAAAGAAAAACAAATTGTAAAGGGTTTAAGAATGAACATGTACTTTAAACTGTAAATTAAAATAAGTTTTTATTCAAAGCATTTTTTAAAATTACAGCATGTTTATTCTTATGCTGTTAACTCTGCCAAACTACAACTTAGCCATATGAAGCATAAAACACTTCAAAAATCTGAATGTCAACCACATTTTTAAAACAAAAAGCAGTGTTAACACACCTCAAATTTTAGATGCCAATGTATTTTGTCCAAGTATACAGCTTATATCAAAAAAAGAACATTTTAAATATTTCTATAGTAAATAGTTGTAATAATTTCTTAAAACTTCCAATTATACAAATGAAAAGTTTGTGAATATAACTATTATAGTTGGCAAAAGCTGACAGGATAAACAAACAAAAACTCTTACTTTTGAATGCCTTAAATTTTATTATCTGTGAACTGGCAAGTATTTGTATTTTTTAAATTCTTACTGCACTTCCTTCTTTAGGTAAGTTCATCAAATTTTAAATTTCCCAAGACTGACGATGCTTTTCATAATTCATTAAGTCATATTTGAGGGAAAAATTCTAGAGAAAAATGTTGAAACCTAAACCAAGAAAATTCAGATACTATAGTCTCTCTTACTTGCTCATAAGTGCTCCAAGTTAAAATTCTATATACCAGATTACAAACAAAATTCTTAAACCATTACAAATATAAATTCTCTTATTACAAAAAAAAAATCCCTCAAGATTTGTAATTTACTGTACAGAGGAATTACATTTTTAAAGTATGTCCTCATCATACACATTATTTGTTACTATCATCTTTCATACTTTTGCTCCATTTCAAGACATTTACATACCTCCCCTTCCCCGTGGCTACATATTTTAAACTATCTGTGTACTGCAACACATTGGGATTTTGAGATAAAGAAGCCTACATTTTAGATAATGTTTAAACTACATCTGTAGGCTACTACTTCAATACAAAAAAGAAACAAAAGGCGCTGAAGAGCCCATATTTCACTCTCTTATTCTGAAGCTTACTCCAATTAAGCAATCTATGAAATTACCATGCTATGATGTTATTTAGTTTCTGCTTAAAACAAGTTAAAATGATGGAGGCTTATGCCTACATAAAGGAGGTGAACTACTCAGCTCTTGATTTTTCTATTCATGCTTCAGTACATAAAGTGGTGTTTAAAAACTTCATCTATTTTGGAAAAAATGATTTAAAACCACCACACAAGTTAACACACTTGCAGTTAAAACTATTCCAGAAGCCTACTTATTTGAGTCGCTAATATTTTCTGCAGTGTTTAACTGATAGCTAAATTTAGTGAACACAAAATAGCTTGGCATGTTATTCTGAAGTAAAGCAAGAAGGTGGCTTTATGCACTGAAAATATAAATAGGAGGCTTCCATTTGCTAATAATTCTAAACAAGCAGTACATTTAAATTTAGTGTTTGCTAACAAAGGATCTAAAACAGTTCATTACAAAACAACCCTGTAGATGTCCCTTTTATTAAAAAAATCCAACTTCCAAATCTCATTACAGGGCCCATAATATTTTTTAAAAATACCAATTACCGAGTTACCTAGACTTTGCAAGATTAATCATTCAATTTCAGCAAATGAGAAACATGAAATGTGCAAAAGTTCCCAAGTTAACAAGCTAAGGGTGACAAGTGCTTTCACACCTAAATATCACAGTGAGTTGTAAAGCCTCAGAAAGATAGAATAAGACTGATTTTACTCCAATTTTGAAAATTCTGAACTACTGTTCATCTTACCAAGATCTTCAAATACCTATTTTCTTCCAAAGTCGGTAAGTTAGAAAGTCTTCCGAAATAGTCAGTTTTCCATTTCTCTAGTCTTATTAGGCACGCTATTTTGCAATTTAAAAATATATATCTTATACTTTCTTGCTTGTTTCAGTGTTTACAGTATTGTTAAACATACTAATATACATTGTTAAAAATGATCTTATAAATAATCTATTTAAACCTTCTTTGGCTACATGTACCATTCTTTTTTTTTTTCATACAAGTGTCTTATTCAGAAAGTGCTTCCTGTGAGAACTGCTTCCAATGAATGCATTAAACTTGCAAAATCTAGCTTCCCACAATACGTAGTTTTCTACCCTGTACTAGAAGTCCCATATTTACAAAATATTTTAAACTTTACAAGAAATCCAATACCATATAAAAAAAGTGCAATTCTCTCTCACCCCATATTCTAGGGCAATGACATTCTTCATAAATTTCTACAGAATAGCAGCCTATGATAAGCAAATAAGGTGCTTAGCTTATGCCCAAGGATCTACTTTTTAAGTATGCTGGGCAGTACTTTTGTACAGTGGAAAGAGTCAGTGTTCTGGCTACTGGCGGAGCGGCGCTCCCGTCAAGTTTGCGAGCTCGATGAGAGCGAGGGCTCCGTGCAGGCGCTCCCGCTGCTCCTGCAGACGCCGCTGGGCACCGCTCTTCTCATCGTCCTCCTCATCAGACTGAAGGTACTCCAGAGGGTCCTGCTGCTCCTGGTCTGCCTTCTGAACCAGCTTTCCTTTCAAGGTGGGAGTACGCTGCTCTCGTGTTTCCCAGTACCTATATGAAATGCATCCGTATTACTTATACAGTATATATAACATTCTCAAATGTTCACTTTTCTTCAAAGAAAATAAAAAGGAGGGGGGTCTTTCCTACAGTATTATTTTGTGTTTCAGTTTATAAAGTTATAAAGTGATTTCGAATACATTACATGTTTTTCCATAACAGAGGAAAAAATTCAAGTTCAAGAAGTTGAAGGACTTGCTCAGAATAACAAAATCAACAAGTGGCAGTTCTGGGTCTTATACTCAACTCTCTAGTCACGTGTTTTTGTCATTAAACTATAGCTGCCTTAAAGATCATATGTGAAATG